TTGTATAAGATCTAACGTTCTATCAGACCTATTGGGAAGGACCTAACATTATTTTAAGACGATGAGCAAGATGTACCGTTGTTATAAAACTTTTTATATAAGATCTAATCTTGTTATAAAATGTATTATACAAGATTTCGCTTTGTTATAAGATTTGTTGTATATGTTTTTTGGATATGCAGTGTAGCATAATGAATAAAAGCAAGGAATGAGAAATCTTAGAGACGAGTTCCCGGGAAAGGTAGAAATCCATCACTACTCCCCTAGATCTGGGTTGAATAGCAGGGCAGATAGAGTCATATGTTGCCTTTGTTGGGAAACAGTCTATCGTAGAAAGAAATGGCAGACCGCTGCGAGAAAATCTGACTATTCAGTCATGAATTGAAAGAGACATGATCGCCCAAGTGTGTATCACATATGGCACTTAACTTACTGACCGTAGATCAGTAAATGCTGGTATATGACTTAACGTTGTTACAAAATATATTTCATATGATTTAACGCTGTTACAAGATTCGTTTCCTATGACTTAACACTATTAAAACTTGTTTCATATGATTTAACGCTGTTACAATATTTGTTTACGTATGGCAACGCTATTACAAGACTTGTTTCATGTCTCTTAACAGTGTTACAATATTTGTTTCATATGACTTGACGCTGTTACAAGACTTATTTCATATGACTTAACACTGTTAAAGACTTGTTTCATATGACCTAACGCAGTTACAAGACATGTTACATATGCCAACGCTGTTACAAGCCTTGTTGCATATGACTTAACATTGTTACAAGCCTGATTTAATCAAGACTTGTTTCATATGACTTGACGCTGTTACAAGACTTGTTTCATACGTCTTAACACTTTTACAAGACTTGTTTCATATGACCTAACGTTGTTACAAGACTTGTTTCATATGACCTAACGCTGTTAAAAACTTGTTTCATATGATCTAAGACTGTTACAAGTCTTGTTTCATATGACTTAACACTGTTAAAACTTGTTTCATATAACTTGATGTGGTTACAACACTTGTTTCATATGACTTAACTCGGTTAGAAGATTGGAATCAATTGAATAAATAATATATATATATATGAATGACAAATATATATATATATATATATATATATATATATATATATATATATATATTGTCATCCACAGACTGTTTCGATGTATCACAGTTCATCAGCGTGGCTAGACGTCCGGTTCCCTTATCTCGGATCGAAACTTAAATTGGCGTCAGTCAGAGAATCTACGCCTATGGCGTTGGCACACAGTAGGCCTGAAGGTGTATTTAAGCGTTTTTTTTTTAGTTAAACACGCAAGTGACTGGGAGAACTCGATTCGTTTCATTGAAAAATACTTCATTAGCAGCAGTAATCGTCACTGTTTATAAACTCACACTTTCTCACCAGAGAGTTCAACTGAAATAACTTTTCAGGACCATATATATATATATATATATATATATATATATATATATATATATATATATATATATATGTGTGTGTGTGTGTGTGTGTGTAAAATTAGGAGAAATTTGTTGATTAACACTTGCTTTAAAGGACCACAAACCAAATTTCAGAAGCTAATCCAACTAGAAGGATAATAAACCCAACAAGACCTGAGATCGGCAAAATAAGTAAAAAAAATCCTAGAAAGGGTTAATCAACAAATTAAAGAAAAAATAGGGCTGAAACTTTGGATTAATACTAAAAAAGTGACAAACTGGTTTACTGATATTAAAGATAAAACAAACTGTACACTAATGTAGTTTGATATTGAAAATTATTATCAATCAATATCAAAACTGTTCATGAATGCGTTGGACTTTACTACCCAGTACACGGACGTAACAGCGGAAGAAAGGAGCACTATTATAAATGCGAAAAAAAAACAGTACTGATACATAAAGGTGAGCGATGGATAAAAAGTTCTTATGACTACTTTGACATTACAATGGGATCACTAGACTCAGCAGAGTCTTCTGACCTTATAGGTTTTTTATATTCTACAATGTCACAGCGTACAATGAAATTAATATAACTGACATTGGTTTATACAGAGACGATGGACTTATGGTTATAAAGAACTCTACTAACTTTAAAATCGATAAAATTAGAAAGATATTATATAAAGAATTTAAATACCTGAACTTAAAAAAATTACGGTAAGTTCTAAATTGAAAAAAGTGAACTTCCTTGATATAATATTAGATTTAATGAAAAATGTATATATACCTTATAAAAACCCAATACCAATGCACTGTATATACACCCTGAATCTAATCATGCTCCATCTATAATTAAGCATATACCTTTATCTATCGAAAAAAGAAAAAGTAAAAATTCAGCAAATGAGAAGATTTTCTATGAACCAATTAATTTCTATAATAAAGCTCTAAAAGATAGTGGCTACAAAAGTCCAAAACTAACTTATATAAAACATGAAAATGGAAAGCATAGAAAAAACAGAAGCAGAAGAATAATTTGGTATACACCCCCATACAACCAAATGGTGAAGAATAAATTAGCACAAAAATTCCTTGCATTAATCGTTAAACATTTTCCTAAAGATAGTAAACTCAGTACTATTTTCAATAAAAAAAATACCCTAAAATTAAGTTATAGCTGTACTGAAAACTTAGAGAAAATTATTAAGAAACACAATGCTAATATTTTGAATAAACATTTAGGCCAAAACCAAAGAAATTTAGACAGTATAGAAATAAAAAGAGATGAAGATAAACAAAAATTGTGTAACTGCAGAAATCCTAATAAGTGCGCTCTAAAAAATAAATGTCGCACGAAATCCTTAGTATATCAATGCAATCTCTCATCTATTGAGCATCCTGACAACGTAAAAGTCTACATAGGATATACAAGATACGAGTTCAAAAAACGCTTTAACAAGCATCAAAGGTCTTTTAGGATAAATAAATACCGAAATCAGACGTTCCCATCGAAATATTTCTGACACTTAAAAGAAGCCAATAAAACGCCTAGAGTAAAATGGAAATTAATAAGAAAAGCTAGAATATTTAGGTCATTAAATGACCCATGTCCTTTGTGCATACATGAGAAACTATATATTACTAGGTTTAAAAAAAAATTACTGAATCACAGAAATGAAATAGCTATTCTTTGCTGACAGTGTCAAAAATTTTCCTTAAATAATATTTAATAAAAATAAGAGAGCTGTAATATACATACTTATATTTGACATTTAATAATAATTTTTAATTAATTTAAGTAATTCTATTACATTTATTTGTTTTTAAAATGAAATAGAGTCTATTAGTAATTAAAAATAAAAATAATATTGTAAAATTGTAGTTCAATACAACCCCTTTTAGAAAGAATCTTTATGTATACAAGTAAAAATTTAACGATAAAAATGCCAAGAAACTACTTGTCGTTTTAAAAAACAGACGACATACGTTGAACGGATGTCATAATTCGTTGAAAATTACACCCCTACCCTACCTAAACATAAACTCTTTTCGAAATTAACTCAAATTTGATACAATAGTTATTAATAAAAATGAAGACCCTACGGCCCCAGTTTAAATGATTGGATTTCTCTGTATCCTTGGAAACAAATTGTATGTGCTTTTAAAACTCAGTATTCAAAATAAGTTATTCCAAAACTGGCTTGAAAATGAAAGAGAACTAGAGCTTTTAATTTAATTAAATCATTGAATTTGAATTTAGTTTCTGTTTTTGAAACATGGTAATTCCTGTGTAGCGAAGGAAACATATTTTAAATCAGTTAATTTATAATATATATATATATATATATATATATATATATATATATAATATATATATAATTGTTATTGTTCATAAAATCGGACACACAATTATGTATGCTATTTAAATGTGTTATATTTATGTGTGGGGAGTGTTTAAAATAGGAGCTACTAGGTTCGTATTTATCGGACATATGAATCAACACTGTAAGGTGACTGTCAACTTCTGGCTTGTAATTCGATCTTCCCACCATGAATTCCTGATTTCTATATCTACTTATGTCACGCTCTCTCTATCTCTACCTCCTCACTCTCTCTCTCTCTCTCTCTACTTCTCTCACTCTCTATCTACTTCTCTCACTTTACTTCTCTCTTTCATTCTGTCTTTATCTCTCTCTCACGATCACAATCTCTCTCACTCACTTAATATATATCTCTCAGTTACTCTCTCTCTCTCACTCGTTCTCTCTCTCTCTCTCTTGCTCTTGATCTTATCTATCTATCTATCTATCTATCTATTTCTCACTCTCTAGAGGAAGTCGGTTTCAACATGAATCTTAATGTAAGCAAAATCTAGCATATAAACATTAACTAAATTTGTCTGTTCCACTACATTAGCGCATTGTCTCATGAGATAAATTTATTCACCATTGTTCTCTGCCAAACACCTCTGATAATACATATGTGTCCTTACATAGATATATAATCTACATATATATTCGTATATGCTTTTATTGTATTGCGTTTATACATATGTATTCAAATAGGCACGTGTTCAGATAATTACAGATTGTGTGTGAACTTGTCTTTATATTATGCCTAAATACTCGTTTGGCTTTTGCTGGAAATGATGATCTTAGAAAGCCACAGCACAAAACATCATTCACCAGTTGGCTGATCAATAGTCATGCTATAAAATCTGGTGGGTCTGCGTTCGCGCTGACCTTTGCAGACCCTTTGGCAACCCGCTCAAATCACCACATTTTCTATGGCCTGCAGCGATGACGCAGTATCACGCAGAGGGAGGCAATCTGCAGAAAGGTCATGTGGAAAATCGAGCGAGCGCTTTGATGTTAGGCGAAATGAAACTGGTGCGAAGAGAAGACATGAGATGGCAGTCAAATGAGAGAGAAAGAAAGAGAGAGAGAGAGAGAGAGAGAGAGAGAGAAAACTGAAAGACAATATATTCTCTTTCTGACTAAGAATGGGTAAAGTCTTCGATGTTCAACCATTGACAGGCGCATGTTTTTACATTTTGGTCAGATGCGATGTAATGTAATGTTAACCTCCTTTCACTTCTCTCTTTCCCTCTCTCTCTCTCTATCTATCTATCTATCTATCTATCTATCTATCTATCTATCTATGCCTTCCTGTCTGTCTATTCATCTATGTCTGTCTGTCTCTCTATTCATATCTGTTTGTCTATTCATGTATGTTTGCCTGATCATGTCTGTCTTTTTATTCACGTCTGTCTGTCTATGCCAGTGTCTATTCATGTCTGCCTGTCTCTTCATCTATTTATCTATCTATCTATCTATCTATCTATCTATCTATCTATCTATCTATCTATCTATCTATCTCAGTCTATTCATATCTATCTATCTATCTATCTATCTATCTATCTATCTATCTCAGTCTATTCATATCTATCTATCTATCTATCTATCTATCATATCTATCTATCTATCTATCTATCTATCCTCCTCTCTCTCTCTTTCTTCTTTATCTCTCTCTCTCTCTATGTATATATATATATATATATATATATATATATAGAGAGAGAGAGAGAGAGGGAGGGAGAGAGAGTGCGATGGGTAAATTGTCAGTTTAGTAGGGTCAGTTGGGCACCGTCTGTGAGAAAAAGAGCACCATGACGCAATTCCCTCCTCCAGTACTGTTAGGTATTCGAGTCATAAGCCCCAATACGAACATTTCAGAATCATTGAGTGTTAATCTGAGGAGAGTTCAGTTGATTCGGAAAGAGTTGGATGATATGTCCAGTCAACATTAAGATGTTTGGAGTGATCACTAGTGATGGTGACGTGATGCCTCCATTCATCTTCCTGAAGGGTCTCAAACTGAGTACCCTGAGGAGCTAGTGCTGCAAAAGGTCTCTGTACCATTCCATACAGGCAGGAGAACTCAGTCATTGTTGTCAGACAATTTCTGCGACTACAGCAGCCCTTACATCTAGCCATTTAGTTCGCCAGACTGCAACCTCCTTCATTATCATGTGGGCCACAGTTGAGCGAGAGACCAAAAAACAATTCTCCTTGTGTCACCAAAGATGAACGGAAGGCAAGGATTATGGCAGAATTCACCAACTTAAAGAACTTAAACTATCTGTATTATCTGTATATTTATCTCATTTAATGAAATCTGATATAATCAAAATTATATGACATTTTGAGAAAGTGACATCGACATGTTTCACCTTTAATCCTGATTCCTCAGAAGAACATAAATGAAACCATGGTAGCGGGTGTGATATATTTTTTAATATTTAAAGATCTGCGCGTTCAATTTTTTGATTTTGTATAGATCACTTTTTAATACAATCGTCTCCCGGTCGGACTGAAGTTTGACTAACAAACGGTTTTGAAACATGAGAACTCTTATGTAGCGTGTAGGAATCATATTTTTAAATAAATACTTATATATATATATATATATATATATATATATATATATATATATATATATGTGTGTGTGTGTGTGTGTGTGTGTGTGTGTGTGTAAAACGTATTTAGGCATCGCGAGATTAATAGGTGTAATATTTGGACTCTACAATCAACAGAGATGTTGAAAATGGTGGCCTTTTAGCTTCCAGACATTTATTAGTACAGCGAACCATTGCATGGTCAATGTTGCTCAAATGCCTACTGAAATTTCTATGCTTGTATTTTCAATTTCTCGTTTAAGGGTTGCCATTGTAATGCTATCCGTCGAGAAAATATCGTAATACAGTAAACAGTGTTATCGGAAACTACGAAAGACAAATTGTTACACTGAAGTGTGTATACATTTTGTCTCTCTCTCTCTCTCTCTCTCTATATATATATATATATATATATATATATGTGTGTGTGTGTGTGTGTGTGTGTGTGTGTGTGTGTGTGTGTGTGTAGGTGTGTGGTTGGCTCCCTAAGCCGTGCTAGGAAGTTTTTCTCCCTGAGTCGATCCTCCAGATATACAAATCCACAATTCGCCCTTGCATGGAGTATTGCTGTCATATATGGTCTGGCGCCCCTTCTGTTTACCTCTGGGTTCTTGATAGGCTCCAGAGGCGGATATGCAATGTGGTTGGCCCTGCCCTGCCCTGGCGTCTCGTCTACAGTCACTTTCTCACAGACGCACCGTCGCCTCCCTCTGTCTGTTCTACAAATACTTTCATGGAAATTGCTCCGAGGAACTGCATTCGCTGGTTCCCAAACTTCAGGAGTTCAAGCGCCCTACGAGGCTGGCATCCCGCTCTCACCCCTTCACTGTCGAAACTCCTAAATGTAGCCGTCTCTTCTACTCTAATAGCTTCATGTCTCGCACCTCTCGCCTGTGGAACTCTCTTCCCTTCTCCTGTTTCCCTGAGAGTTATAATCTCCAGCTATTCAAGTGTAATGTCAATCGACATCTCCAGTTGCCTTAATCTATCTACTACCCTTATCCTTTCTTCTATCACTCCTATCTGATCTTCCTATTTTCTGTAACCCCTTGCGTCCTAGTGGCTCCCCGCCTTGCTTGGGGTGAAATGCTTAAAAAAAAAAAATGTATGTAATAACAATCTAGTACGCGGTTTTGGTCCTTGGTTAGGCCTAAAGGCCACATTCGTGATGTCCACTAGTTATAATATTTGCATGCTACAATTTAAAGCGATGAATTTACTGGGAAAGGAGAAAGCAGGTATGTGCTCAGATATTTTACAGTAGAAGCCCACGAGATGCGATAATAATCTTCGAGAACTAACTTACTGAAATTAACAAGGTCATCGGTAAGGACGCCCCCATGTGTCGTAGAGGTTTCACTTGTGCATATATTAGGAGACACAAGGCGTTAATCTGTGTTTCCGCAATATCCACTTGACTCGAAATCATTAGGTTTCATTGTCTAGTATGGAGTGTCGTTTGTTGATAATCATGACAATTTAAAGCTACACATCGCGTTAGATTCTTTTGATGACCACATCCAACATTCTGCTCCCGATGTTTTCGATGTAACCCTATTATGTTATTATTATTATTATTATTATTTTTTCTCCTAGAGTGATTACCAAACATGTCTGTAGTTCTAACTCTGTTCTGAGGTCCGGAACCAACTGAAAAATTGTAAAAAAATGATAAGAGGCCCTACTCGTTCCCAACCGAATGTATATTATTATCTTCAGAGAAGTTAATTTTGAATCCGGAGAAAATACTTTAATGACTTAATCTTTTAAATATTTAATTTGATTTGTCAATAGTTTTGCTTGAAATGTCACGCCAATAATCCAACGTCATCATTAGAAGTATGTTATTTGAACGAATTAATATTTACCTTACCGAAATTAAATTATTTTACGTTAAGCATCTGGAAGCTTAATTAAAATTGAAAGTAGTGTAACGTTAAATATTAATTTCAATTAGTTCTTTTAAATTATCTACTTATCCAATTAAATTAGCTCATGTTTATGGATCTGAATTAGTTCATTCTGTCTGTCAGTCTATCTATCAGAGTGTGTGTATGTCTATCTACCTGTCTGTCTGTCTATCTGGCAATCTGTCACTATCTAGATGGATATCTGTCTGTCTATCTGGCTAGGTATCTATCTGTCTTTATCTATCTGGCTGTCTATATATTTGTCTGTCTATATATCTGTCAGTTTATCTATCTGCTTATCTATCTGGCTATCTGTTTGTCTGTGTGTATTTGTTTATCTATAATCCAACATTAGACTATATATATATATCATATATATATATATATATATATATGTTTTATATGATATATGTCCTGAAGATAGTCTACTAGACTGAAACGTATTCATAAAACACGTTGACATATTATAGTAACATTAAAACAGCTAATAATAGTTGCATGAAACGTCCGACGTTGGATAGTTTTAATTGCATATTTTTTTGTTTGTTATATTTTTTTCTTTTCATATATATATGTAATAAGCCAATTGTATATATGTGTATATATTCGCAATTTTCAGAGCAAACAAATGGAGAGTCGGAAAGGGGGAAAAATTGCTATAATTTGCAACAATTTGCATATTTACAATGCAAAATAATAGGCCTCATCAGTTACATGAAACATAACACGGTGATACCCACATGTAACTACCAAGCATAAGGTTAACAACAATCATACCTGCACACATTTTGGTAAGTCATGTTTCAGTCAATCTGAACTGACCAGAAATCTGCAAATCAATAAACAGCGAAAAGAAGGAAATGAACAAGGATCAATGACTGATGTTGACTGTCTGTGCAATAAAACTTAAAAATCGCTTATCAGCTTCAAGAGCCATTTTCGGTTTCATGATAGTCAATCCTTCTCGGTGAGAGTCATATTCAGTTATAAATATGTGTAGCCGTATGTAGATACATAATAACAATGTATAAGAATATTAGATATCTAACCAAATGAAATGCGATATAGAACTAAACCTAAAAAGTGTCTTATATTATTTTAATTACGTCGCATTTCCTCAAGATTGTGACAGAGAGAAATAGCAAATTTACATACAAACATACATTGGTTAACATTGTTGATTGACAGATGGATAGATAATGTTGTGCTGTGAGATAATTGACAACTTTCTTAAATTAATTGAGTACAATGTCATTAGTACACTGTTAGATTGTTGAACATCGTAATATTGAATTCTTACTAAACAAAATAATATATATTCTACACCATTTATCAATCTGCATATTTCTAAATTTTTCTCTGTGTACTGTGATTGATGCAGGGTTACTACTTCATTGACGTTGATCCCAAACAATGATATTACAGGATTGGTGATTTTGAGGAGCGTGGAACTACATCTTAATTGTTGTTCTTCCCAGGTCCCACCCTGATCCGGGGTGGTAGCAACTGTTAGGGCCCCGGCTGTGGGCAAATAGTGAACTCCAAAACAAAAACATAACAATATGAATGTATAAAAATACATTTTTATAGTGAAAATTATCAACAATACCTATTTATAGTAAAATTATCAACAATACGTATTTGTAGCAAAATGGCCAACAATTTATTTTATCTCTAGTTGAAGGTATACAATTTAGCGAAACAACCAACATAAAATAACTCTTTCATGACATTAATCGATATAATATCCTATAATTTCTTAAATAAATCAAAGTGTATTCCAAAATATAATAGCATAAACACACATATCCTCGCCTCGACTAATCATGTCCACACAAACATGTACCGTGCTGTTCGATAAAAGTGACTCGCCTGATTTTTTTACTTAAAATTTTTTCGCCTATTGTTTTTGGGGTCAAACTAATTATCAATTTTACTAATATAAAGACCTCTTCCCGACCATCTACTAAAAAAAGTTTACTCACCCTAAGGTATTCTATTGATAATTATAATTTTGGATATAAATGAGATTTAGGGAAAAACTCTGTGCAGAAAAAGTGACTCACTTATTTTCTGCAACTAGTAATCGATAGAAACATAACCAAACAGTTCTAAATAAAGAATAATAGAGGTATCATTTATTTATAATAGGTAATATAGTTCGAAATATTTA